ACCTATTATGCAGCTAAGCACTCTATTAAGTGCTTAAGTTGCAATGACAAAAATGAAAAATGTTCCTGCCTTCAAAGAGCTTACACTCTATGGGAAGAAACAACACATAGGAAGAGAAGTAAACAGAAAACACATCCAATGTAAATAGAAGTATTTGTAAGGTATGTTGATGGGCCATTTTGGATTGTCTCCCATAGCATTTCTGTGATCAGAACTAATCATTAAGTGCTACCTTCCACTGACATGTCCATAAACTCAGTAATAGAATAGGCATGGGCAATGGGCCTACAATATCATTGGCATAGGGAACTCCTGGCAAGGAAACTCCCTTCTCCGGTATATCTTCTAGTCTCAGAAGGTAGTCTGCAGCAGTTAGAGGCCAAGTAACTTGCCTAGAATTGAAGAGACAGCCTGCATCAAAGACAGCAATCAAACTCAGGTCTTCTCGGCTCTAACAAAAGTATTCAATTCATCAACTGCCACTGAGAGAAAATTAGGCATTCTACACTAGCAGTCTGCAAGCTCACTACCAAAAGAAAAAAGTGTGAATTTTACCATGGTCCCTTTGCAACTAAGGCTGGGCACTGGTTATTTTCAGGAATGCTTTTAACATCACTGTGTATATTAGTGTCCTGCTTCCAGTGCCTTTACTAGACTCTTGGGATTTTAGGGGGTTTTTCGCACATGTCATGGACCCCATTTAGTAGACTGGTGAAACCTCCGGACTGCTTTTCAGAATAATAGTTTCAAATACACAGGATTACAAAGGAAATCAATTCTACTAAAATACAGTAATCAAATTTTTTTTTAAAGCAAGTTCATAAAACTGCATACACTTCTTAGGAGAACTCATAACGGACAGCATAGCTGCCTTGGAGAAATGTTCCTTCCTGGTAAGAATCTTCCTTCTTATCTTGGGAATTAGTCTTTCTTTTTGGTTATATCCTTTCCAAGCTAAAAATCATTCTCATTTAGAGCAAGAACAAAGGTTAGAGTTGAGAAGCTCTGCTTTCCCTGTGTAATTCATTATCATCATTCTGGCCATAAGTAACAGCAATCCTATCCCTCCTTGGTCCTTCCCTTTTCTCTAATACAGCTTCAAAAATCATTCTTTTTGTTGTCCTTAGCTTCCTTTGCCAGCTTCCACTTTTTGTCGTATTTAGTTCCTGACATTATTTTTTATAAGTCAGTCATTTCACTTCTGTGCCTGCATTTCCAGATGCATAAAAGGGAGATAATGATATCTGAACTAGCTAGCTCCCTCACTGAGACGCCATGCAGGAAAGGTTTTGTAAACTTTGAATTCCATTGAACCCAAGCTATTATAAGTTATTTTAGCCTAATTTTTAACACAGAGAAGAAAAGATTACTTTTATCATAACTTTTTCTGAATGGTCCCTGAAGACCAACACACAAACACACTCTACTATCAATATCTCAGTGCATTTTTTTCTAAACATAAACTAAAATTGCTTTAATTTGGAACTGAACTTGTTAGGGAACATGGAAATAAAACACATTACTATAAAATTGTTGACTTTTAAAATACACAGTGGGACTACAGTAAAAAAGCAGTCAATACTTAATTGTATTGTAGGAGTGCTAAGAGAACTTATAATCTTACTGAAATTTTTTCAGACTAATACAAAATATTTGGTGGGGAACAGAACAAAATATATGTGTGTATATTTGTACGTGTATTTGTATGTGTGTCTCTCTATGTACATATATATATAGACACACACACACACACACACACACACACACATATATATATATACATATATATATATACACATACATACATATACACAAAGGTATATATATGTGTGTGTGTGTGTGTGTGTGTGTGGTGGTGGTAATGGTGGTGGTAATGGTGGTAGTGGTGGTGGTGGTAGTGGAGTTTTTTAGTTATTTTTGGTTCTAACTCTCCATGATGCCATTTGAGATTTTCTTGGCAAAGATACTGGACTGGTTTGCATTTCTTCTCCAGCTCATTTTACAGATGAGGAAACTGAGGCAAACAAGGTTAAGTGATCTGCCCAGGATCATCTTCCTAGTCTCTAATGTCACATTTGAACTCAGGTCTTTCCAACTCCAGGCCCAGTTTTCTATCCGCTGTGCTACCTAGATACAAATAAATAACCAAAATGAAATAGGCCCTTGCCTTCAGTAGCCTGTATTCTTAGATAATATTATCATTTTCAGCTAAGTGGCACAGATAGAGTGCCAGGCCTGGAGTCAGGAAAACTCATCTCCCTGAGTTCTAATCCAGCCTCAGACACTTACTAGCTGGGTGACCCTGGGCACATCACTTAACTCCATTTGCCTCAGTTTCCTTATCTGTAAAATGAGCTAGAAAAGGACATGGTAAACCACTTCAGTATCTTTTCCAAGAAAACCCCAAATTACCATTGCCAGATGACAAAATCTACATCTGGTATAATGAGATAGTTCTAGACTGGGAGTCAGGAAACCTGGCCTTGCCCCTAACTACCTGTAGGACAAAACAAAGGCAAATTGCTGTTTGTTAAGTACATAACAGAGTGGATTCCTGATCAGGTTGCTCTTGCTCAGATCTGCATAAGAAGATCTATGAAATTCCTGCTAAATCTGAGATTCTGGAATCATTCCCCCTACCCCAACAGAAACTCCTCATTCTGCAAGATGATATCCATACTGAAACTCCTATCTCCTCAGTACCTTCTGCCTCTGGGCAGCTCCTCCTCTCTGACTGGAGAAGATGAAGGTTAGATCTTGGAGAGCTGCTCCCTAATCCTCCACCGCTTAAGGAGAGCACTCAGACAATTCATGTCATCATTTCCCACCTGGTTGACCCCCTGGATTTCATGATCTCCAGAAAGTCATCATCCAGCAAGATGAAATCAACTTTGAAATTCACACCCTTTAGATCCTTTCTAACCCCAGCTGCAGGACTTGTCAAGACCCATACATTGGTTTCCTCTCTTTCCATCTTCTTTTCATGTATTATCTTCTCTGATTAGATTACAAGCTCGACTCCCTTAAGCCTTTCTTTGAATCCCCATCATTTACTGTCTCTGACGGATTCTGTGACCTTGAGCAAATCCCTTCATTTTTCAAACCTCAATCTCCTCATTCAACTTAATCTAATTCAATCTAACACATTCATTAGTGTCTACTACGTGTGCAGTTCTGTGTCAGGTGCTAGAGATAAAAAGAGAGGTTTACAGCTGTATGGTTTTTCACTTTCAGAAAATTTTCATGGTAAACAACTTTATTTAAGCTCAGAGGCAGAGCCAGTTAGATTAAGAAAATATTGACAACCACAAAAGTTTGATAAGTCTTTATCAAACTATACCTTGAACTATACCTTGATGTTTGTTATTTTTTTCGTCTTGCTCAAAATGGTGATATTATTTTCCTGTGATGTGAGTAATTAATAACTAGTGAATATTTGTTTATGTTAAAGAATTGTATTTTGTTGTGATATATGAATGTGATGGAATGACTGTGCCATAAGAAACAACTAAATGTGATGAACACAGAAGCACTACAAGACTTATGTGAACTGACGCAAACTGATATAAGCAGAGCTAAGAAGACAACATATGTGATGATTACAACAATGTAAATGTGACAATAACCCCAAACCAATAAAAATAAGTGTTGCAAAATTATAGAGTATACCCTAAATACCAAAGAGGAACTATGAGAAGACATATGTAAAATGGGCATGAGTAATTATGATAATATTAAAAGCTCATGTGCCTAACACTTCAAATTCTATAAAGTTCATCCCTTACTATACTCTTGAAAAGTAGTCAGAGTACTGGCCCCGTTTTACAAATGAAACTTGGAGGAAGCTCACTTGTAAAGGCCAAGACTCACATCTGTGTCTCCCGACTCCAAGGCCTTTTTCTTTCCAAGGCACTATTCTGTAGCATTTGGATCAATGGGTCAAGAAAAGCCCAGAGCCTTTCTTCTGAAGCAAAGTCAGTACACACAAGTTGACATGAATTGACTTCAACTTTTGCTGCCAGTTTTTTACATTGTGATGTTATTTGTGCTATTTTGGTGCTTTCCTATCTGCACTGCCCATGCTGAGGGGGCCATCTTTGGTCTCTCTGGTCTATATCTTGTCAATGGACCCAAATGGCTCACTTAAATCCAATTCACTTGCAAGTCATGACACTACCTTCCTGATGTCGTGGTCTTTTCAAAAACAAAGGACAAATAACAATCTGTGAGGAGTAGTAGCTGCCCCACTAGGGACCCAACTAGCCAGTCCCAGTTGGGTAATGCAGCACCTTCCTTCCTTTATTCCTTCTCTCCTTCCTCTGCCTCTATCCACATAGGGAATCATGCCCTTACCTGCGGGTGTTCTGCCCAAAGGAATATAAATTTTGATCGCTGAAACCTTGCCATATATCTTGGGGTTTACAGGTTAGATTTTTTTAAGGACCATGCCTTAAACGCAAATCATTCTCACTCTCTTTGATTAGCCAATAATAGCTCCCAGCCTAAGCTTCACTTTGCCATTGTTTGGGCTATGATAGCTCATAGTAAGTGTAAATAGCAACTGTTTCTCTTTTGGCCAGAAACCCTGAAGGTCTTCCCCTACCAGATTGATTTTTTTTTTTGACTAGGTAAAAGATGCCATTCTTTGCCTCATTTCCTATCTAGCCTTAATCATTGAATGGTCATTGACTCAGTCAAACTGAGACCCAGGAAAGACCTGAACTTAAGAAGGCCAAGGTCTCCCACTGCATCTGAGGCCATCTCTAGTCATCCCAATCTATATCTCGCCACTGGACCCAGCTGGCTGTAGAGGAGAAAGTGAGGCTGGTGACTTTGTGCAGCCTTCTCTCACTTAAATCCAATTCACTTGCAAGTCATGACATCACCTTCCTGATGTCATGGTCCTCTTCAGAAATGAAGGACAAGCAATGCCCATACTGAAAGAGCTCAGTTCATCCTTCTCTATGTAGGTGTAGGACAATTCCAAAATATCCCATTACCTGTCCTCGAGGAAGGCGTTCTTGCTATTTCTAAGGAGCAAGGCTTCTTTGTGACCGCTGTATCTGTGAGGTCACTGAGGCCATTTTCATTTTCAGCAGAAAATGGATCGAGGGAAGCAGATGGCACCATTTCTAGCGTATAATTTCTCTTCTTTGGATAGGACTCCTGAAATAGAAGAGAGGCACCTCCATGATCAAAAAACTCAGCACCATTTGACATGTATAACACCCAAAGAGACAACCAGCTGCGTGGCTTCTTCCAAAACCGATGGCAGGAAAACTGATGAATAATCTGAATGAGGAAGACAATGTTGAGATTCCCAATATCTGGGAAGAGTTTTAAAGATTACAAATCAGATCATTATCATTTAACTTACATTCCAGTTAGTGATGAAAGCTAGCCTTAAATCCACAGAGGTCTGGGCTTAACACCTTTTGGAAATATACTGGACTTAAATGCACAAAATACAAAGGATTATAAAGGTAATTAATTATATTGAAATGATTTTTTAATGCTATTGCTTTTTAAATCCACAGACCCTAGGCTAACAATCTCTGATCTAAAGTGCTTAGTTGCAGAGAAGGTGCCATCCTACAATCCTGATCCTTCTTGATATATTGCCTTCATTTGACACTGTTAACCATTCTCTGCTCCTGGATACTGTCTTCTGTCTTGGTTTTCATGACATTGCTGTTTCCTGGTTCTCCTCTTATCTATCTGACTCCTCATTTTCTTTTGCTGGCTCATCCATATCATGCTTCCTGAACTGTGGGCATTTTCCAAAATCCTATCCCAGTCTCTTTTTCTTTCTACATTCTCTCTCCTGGTAATTTCATCTCCCTTCTTCGGTTTAAGTACCATCCCCATGTACATAACTCAAGAGAACTCACAAATATATACACAGATAGAAAGATAGTGATATATATATATATATATATATATATATATATAGGTATATATATGTAGGCACGTATATATCATACATAATATATGCACATACACATCTATATATGCATGCACATATGGCAATATGTGTGTATGTATGTATGTATGTATGTATTCAGTTATAGTCTCTCTCCTGAGCAACAATACCACATCACCACTCACCTACTGGACGTTCTAAACTGGATGTCCCAGAGACACATCCAAAACCAAACTCATTATCCTTTTCTAGCACAACTTCCTGTCCTCCAGCTTCCCTCTTTTATCAAAGGTACCGCCATCCTTCAGTGTCCCAAGTTCCTAACATTGACGTTATCTTCAATTCTCTAATCTCGCTTAGCACACATATCCAATCAGTTGCCAAACCTTACCATTTCATAGGATTTAGGGCTGGAATGGAGATTATAGATTTTCTGATCCAACCCCTTCATTTTAAAGAGGAAGAAACCGAAGCTGAAAGGAATGAAGAGATTGGCCCAAAATGACACATGATGGGAGGTAGCAGAGCCGGGTTTCAAACTTCTCATTCCAAAACGAATGCTCTTAATGCTCCATAATATACAATACAGGAAAGCCACAATTAAGCAGCCAAATTAATTTTATTTTCACACACTTTACTATCAAGACAAAAACATATTAGAAGAAAACATCATAGAACTGAGTTATCCCTTCTCTCCTCATTCTACAGCCCCTCAAAAAAGGGGGAAAAAACCCTTTCAGGACTTCTTTTAGGCTCAGTATAGTTTCAACTATCTCTCCTTTACTTTCTACCTACACATGTTTTTATTTTGGACCTGGCCTATGGCCTCTTTGGTACAGAGATCTACTTCCTGGGAGGAAACTCCCTTTATGAATACCAGCAACTACTCTACAGTTTCTGGCCTTAAAGTATGCCTGGGTGACTTACCCAAGGTCACAAAGCCTGAATATTTCAGAGACTTCAGAGAACAGACCAGAACCTACCTTCTCAATTCTGAAGCTAGCTTTCCCAGATCATTTTTCCTCTAATACTGTATGATGAAAATTCATTCTAAGAATAACGGCCTTTGGGCAACCCCAAGATCCTCAATCATTAATTGTTAATTTATTTCCAATAGAATCTACTGGATGAGACAGGAAAGTAAAGCTATTCTTTGAGAACTATTTCCAATAACATGGATTAACAAAATAGCAAATGCCCTAAGGAAAGCCATCAGGACAGAGAGGGTACTGCTATCCATGTGAGATGAGAAATAGTTGCAAACACTTACATTTAATCTAGAAAAGAGAAGACTCTGGGGAAAGATTTTCATTAGGAAGAACAATCCAGTGTATTCTGCTTGCTTCCAGGATGCAAGCCTACATTGGAAGGATTTTAGTTAAATTTTAACCAGCACTTTCTGACAATCAGAATTGGGCCACCTGCCTCACAATGTAGTGGAAGCCCCAATTTCTAGAAATACTTTCACAAGTTGTGTGTTTTGTCATTGTGTTTCTCCTTTGTTTTCAAAGAGGACCATAACATCAGGGAGATGATGACATGACTTGCAATTGACTTTGTTTAGAGTGAGGGAGGGCTGGGCAAAGCCACCAGCCTCACTTTCTCCTCCAGTGGCCAGATATTCATCAGGAGGACTGGCGATAACTCAGAAGGCAATGGGAGACCCTGTTCCTTTTAAGCTAAGGGCTTTTCAGGTTCTCACTTTGAGTGAGGCAACACTCATCCAGTGAATAGGCCTCTTTAAGAAGTGAGTCAAGGATGGTCCCTTTAATTTAAAAAAAAAATAAACAGGGAGGAAAAGACCCTCAGGAGGATCGTGGAAGAATATCGTAGAAATTTTCCCACGTCTTCTCCAGCATTTACCATTTTCCTGTTTTGTCACGTTGACCAACCTGATAGGTGTGATGGGGTACCTTAGAGTTGTTTTGATTTGCATTTCTGTAATCAATAGTGATTTAGAGCATTTTTTCTATGACTATAGATGGCTTTATTTCTTTATGTGAGAACTGCCTATTTATATCCTTTGACCATTTATCAATTGGGGAATGACTTGTATTCTTATAAATTTGACTTAATTGTCTATATATTTTAGAAATGAGGCCCTTATCAGAGAGACTGGTTGTAAAAATTCCCACTTTTCTACTTTCCTTTTAATCTTGGTTGTGTTGGCTTTGTGCAAAAACTTTTCAATTTAATGTAATCAAAGTTATCCATTTTGCATTTCATAATGCTCTCTATCTCCTGTTTGGTCATGAATTCTTCTGTTCTCCATAGATCTGATAAGTAAACTATTCCTTGTTCTCCCAGTTTGTTTATAGTATCAGCCTTTATATCTAAATCATGAACCCATTTTGACTTTATTTTGGTATATGGTGTGAGATTGTGGTCTATGCCTAGTTTCTGCCATACTCTTTCCCAGCAGTTTTTGTCAAAGAGTGAGTTCTTATCCCAGAAAATATATCCAGTTTCTTCAATAAATCTTTAAATGCCTCACACTCAAGGCTCTTCACCATCCTGGTTGCCTTCTTCTGGACAACCCACAGCTTAGCAATATAATTTTGAATTGTGGTGCAACATACTGAACACAGTATTCCATATGAGGTCTCTCTAGAGCATAGTACAGTGGAAACTTTTCCTGGAAGCTATACCCCTTTGACCCTAACCCAAGACCGAACTAGCTACTACACTTGACACTTGTGACTCATACTGAAACTGCAGTCCACAAAAAACCCCAGATTGTTTCCAAAACTGCTGCCTATCCATGCCTCATGATTAATGAAGTTAATTTTTTGTACTCAGTCCCTACTCAATCATATCATATTAGACTCATCTCAGTGCTCTAGCCTTTCTGTTGGTAATCCTTCCCAGTCTTCCAGAGAGGATTCTTGCTGCAAAAAGGAGATGAGTTCCAGGGTCCTTGAGGTCTCTACCAAGGCTAGAGTCCTGTGATTCCTTGCCATCTCTAAAGCATCATTCTAACAACTAGCTTTTAAAAAGCACAAAAATGCTTTTCTATAGCAGAAAACAGAAGAGTTAAAATGCCTTTTAAGTCACAGTAATGATCAAAAAAGGAAAGCCCGTGATAGGATAACCTTTAGTATGTTAGGGGAAAAAACAGTTGACTTTCCAGAAGCTTCTGAAAAGCCTTGAGCTAATTAAGAGATATTTACCACATTAGCTCACTTTTCTGAAATGTAATCCTCTGGAAAAGCAACACATCTCAGAGCAAGAGGTTAGTATTAATGTGGTTTAATTACCACCTAGAGAAATGACAAGTGCACAGCACTGAGCATGTATAAATAGACCTAATAAAGGAGGCTTGGGTTCAAGCACTGTTTGTTAATTAGAACATAATGCTTTTCTGACAGTATGGAAGAGTTTTCTTTATTTTTCTAGTCTCTTTCTTGCTTTCCTTGAGCAATGACAGTGGATGAAAAGTTCAACTGAGGAAAAGGCTAAGTGGAAAAAAGGAAGGTGAAAATGAGGTAAATTTTCCTGGCAATGACACATTCAAATAAGAAATAGGGAGGAGTTCGTGTGAGATAAGGTTGGAGTTTCATGTCTTTACCTAATATTTGAACATTTCTAACTCCATTTGGAACCTCTGTGAGCACAATCAACATGACTCAAATATCAGAAGGAACAGTTTATGGGAGAGACTTCATGGTGTAGCAGAGAGAGCCTTGGCACTGGAGTCAGATGGCCTTGGTTCAAATCCCACCTTTGATCCTTACTGCCTGTGTGACTTCAAGCAAGCCACTTAAACCTCTTTGGGACTCAGTTTCCTCTTCTGTAAAAGGAAGGGGTTATCCTGGCTGGACTTTAAGCTCCCTTCCAACTCTAAATCTGTGATGCTGTGATCCCTTCGTGGGTAAATATAAATCAAATCAGTGCCAGCAAAAGCAGAATGGTTTATTATAATTTATTATAAAATTTATCCAAGAAACATTTATTAAGTACCTGCTATATATACACTCATAATAATTTCTGTCATATAGGTTTAGTTGGAGAGGCTTTCAAAGATGATATCAGCCTCCCTGCCACCACCCCCTCCACTGCATTTTGAGTATTTGAACTAAAGAGACTTGAACAATTTCATGCAACAGGTTTTAGACCCTAAACCCACCAATATGATTTAGCATGCATTCAGTCATAAAATATTCATTAAATATAAAGGCAATGAAGATCTACCAGGTTCATAGCAATGGGCTAGATGTTCTTGTGAATAATGAGCAATGTGCAC